ATGGAATGCAAAAACTTTGAAGCTCAATATCTCAAAATTACTCTGAATGCAGATAGAACCTTATAATTCCAAGGGGACGATTTGCTGATCTTGACATGGATGGTTGGTTAACATGCTAGTTCTCCTCTAACTAGATTTGTGTCAATGTTTCAGATGTGAATGTGAGTCCAGGCTGCAAACTCACGGCAGTGATTCTCCATGTCGACCTTTGGAAGTCTGAGGTCCATGTGTCGCTGCTTCCAGAGTTGACCACGTCGCTGAGGAAAAAGGTAAGTCCAACTCCGAGCCGTGAAAATCCACAGCATCTAATTTATTTATTCAAAAATCTGTTAAAGTTCATTCTTTTTGTTTATCTTCAGTTGGAAAAGGACTCCAAACTCACTGCCACTATGCAGTACACCGACAAAGACTTTGCTGTCATCTCATTGGGTGACACTGGTCACCTGAGCATCATTCCCACTCGCACTCAAATAAATGACATCTTAAATTCAAAGAAAATTTACGTCGGTTCCTGTCTGAATGTGACCGTGAAGGAGCCAAGCAGCGAGGAGTTGGGAGGACTTCCTCTTGTCACATGGCAGAAATCGAACGCTAAACGGGAGCAGAGCAAATCTAAGAGCACAGGTCTTGGGGAAGTGATGGCGGTGGCAGTGAAGAAGGTGAAGCCCATGGACGTGGTGGTGACGCTGCCGTCGGGGACCGCAGGAAGTATCCATGTATCTCAGATCGAGGAGTCTCCCGTGGTTGGCAGCTTCCCAACATCGTCGCTGAAGGTCGGGAGCGAGGTCAAAGCCAGAGTGATTGGAGGGCACACAGTTCGTGGTCACAAGTAAATACAGCCGTGTTAAATTGTCCATCACAGAATGTCCTTTGTCTCAGTGCCTTTAAATGGGACTATTTATAAACTCCACATACAAGGCTTTCAAATAGTACTTTTAGTTTTTATTTTGGGAGGTATTTATTTTTTATTTTTTTCATTTTAATTTAATTTATTTAAATGATTTAGAGTTTTTTGAGTCTTGTTTTGTTTAATTTATTTGTACAATTTATTTCACTTATTTAAATATTGTTGAGTTTTTTTTTATTTAATTTTAATTTATTTAAATGATTTTTGTATTTTTTATTTCATTGTTCATTTTATTAATTTTATATTTTTATATCATAATTTATGATTTTTTTTTTTCATTCATTTACATGCTTTTTTTATTTTTTTATTAATTATTTTGCGGTTTTATGGGACAATTATTTTACTGTGTACTTTTAGTATATAGATTTAAATAATATTTCATATAATTTTGCTCCGTTACATGCTCATATTTGTTCATATTCAGCTCAACTGTTTATCAAATTTAGGGTATTAAAAAGTCTTAAATATCTGAAAGGAATAGATCACTCAAAAATGAACATTTGCTGAAAATGTACTTGCCTTTAGACAATATGCAAAATATGGATGAGTTTGTTTCTTCATCACAACAGATTTGGAGAAATTTAGCATTACATCACTTGCTCACCAGTGGATCCTCTGCAGTGAATGGGTGCCGTCAGAATGAGAGTCCAAACAAGACATCACAATAATCCACAAGTAATCCACTCAATTTAGCATGGATAGATGACACATATTTTGGCCTGAAGTGATGGTTTAAAGTTAAAATATCTAAATGATGAATTTGTTTGTTACAAACGTGCAGCTCTTTGCTTCACAAGAGTTTAATTGATAGACTGGAATCATGTGGATTATTGTGACATTTTATCTAGGGTGACCATACGTGCCATTTTCCCAGGACGCGTCCTGGCCAGGATTTCTATATTGCCTAAAATATCTAGGTTTTGGCTTTGTTTGCGTGTGCAGACAGGAGAAAGCTGTATATCGGAGTTATGGCAACTTCCTGCTACGACAGCACCAGAGCGACGCTGCAAATGCCCTTCTGCAGAGGGCGCTGCAGAGCCTGTCAAATAAAGAACGTGAGTGCCAGCTCCACTTCATACATACATACTTAATTCCCACATGTATGCATGCATGGAGACTCACTAGGTATAGATTCATTCATGAAAAGCCATTTGGATGGTGTTCAGGCCCTGCAGGTTGC